GGGGGTGCAGGCCTTGGATATGTGGTGGCTGATTCTCGGGACACAGGGAGCAGCCTACGTTAGGTCCTCTAGTTTCTCTTCGTGGACAGTGGAATCAGAGAGGGCCAGGGACCCTTCTCCGATGTGTCACAGCCCAGAGGTACTCTGGTTAGTGTGTTATCATTATTATTACTATTATTATTGTCATTGATGTTTCTCTGGTTACTATTTACTCAGGTAAATATTCTAAAAGGAAATACTGTATTCTTTTGACTCTCTGTCCTATTGAATCAGACAGGCCATTCCTTGAATCACCAGGAGATTGCACCTGGGACAGGTCATTGAATTGCAGGTAATTGAATTAGATAGATGGGGAGTATGGGCTCAGTAGAGCAAGATGGTGAGAATGGCTCTCATATTACAATGAAGGCCATTTGCTCCGGAGCATAAATATTCCCTGGCACCTGGGTGGGGCTCAGGGAATGCATGTAGAGTGAATCAGTGGGCGCATGCATGCATAGGGGACCTCTATATAACTGAGCCACTTTGTTTGTCAAATCACGAGGGCAGGGACCAATACTCTGATGTATTATTGTCTCTCCCTTTGCCCTAGCAGGATCCTGGACTGGAAGTAGAACCTTAGTAAATATATTGTAGGCTTGCCGAAACCGGTTTGGCTCAGTGGATAGAGGGTTGGCCTGCGGACTGAAAGGTCCCAGGTTTGATTCCGGTCAAGGGCATGTACCTTGGTTGCGGGCACATTCCCAGTAGGGAGTGTGCAAGAGGCAGCTGATCGATGTTTCTAACTCTCTATCCCTCTCTCTTCCTCTCTGTAAAAAAAATCAATAAAAAAAAATATATATATATAGTAGGCTTACACTGAGGGATGCACAGCAAGAGTGGCACCATTATCCACAATTCACAGGTTAGGTACCCTGAGGATCCTGCTCACGTCCTGACTGCTCCATGCCTAGAGAAGCCCAAAGAGAAAACGAAACAGTCTTAGCCATGGAACTTCATTTCTAACTGTCTAGCTCTGTGGTCAGCAAACTACGGCTTTCTAGCCACATGCGGCTCTTTGGCCCTTTGAGTGTGGCTCTTCCACAAAATACCACGGCCTTGGTGAGTCTATTTTGAAGAAGTAGTGTTAGAAGAAGTTTAAGTGAAAAATTTGGCTCTCAAAAGAAACTTCAGTCGTTGTACTGTTGATATTAGTCTGTTGACTAATGAGTTTGCCGACCACTGGTCTAGGTGACCTTAGTCAGTCACATTATTTTTGCCATCATTTTTATCATCATTGAAAGGAAGCCTGGGACAAGATGATTCTCTTGTAGAGGCCTGTGTTGGCCTTGACACAGGGCTGAGGGGTCAGAGACCCTTTCTCTGCCATGGATTAACTGTTTGATTGGCAAAGGCATGTGGCCCATCCCAGGCCCAGCAATCTGTCAGAGTTGTCTAGACACCTTCAGGTTTGAAATTGCTGAGAACACACCTCAGAGTCAAGGGCATGGAAAGGCATAGGCTTTAGTCAGGACTGATTTCCTGACTGTTAACTAACTGCAGAACTTGGGCAAGTTGTTAACCTCTCCTCGGTTTCATCACCTCTAGAATGGTCATGATAATTATGCCTACCTCACCAGGTGGGATGAGGATTGAAAGACATTATTAATATACTTGCCCAAAGACTGGTAATAGTGTTATAATTGCATCATTATATCATACAACTGTGGAAACTGTTTAACCCTCTTCAGCCTAGTGCTTTCTCTTACCCTCTCTTTATCTGTGTGTCTGGCTGTTATAAATACAGTATTCTCCTTCACTTCCTACCTTCAGGGCTTTGAACAGTCAAGCAGTATCTTTAATAGATATTGCATCTATGTTTACCCACAGTTCTCAGGTTTTCATCCCAAATACGATTATTGTGCTGCACAAGATAGTTTGGTAGACATATGTCCCTCTAGCACTTTCATTCTTGGGGAATAATATAGTATTTTCCCCTAATAGTTGGATATACATACTAGTTGATAAACACACACACACACACATACACACACACACACACACACACACACTAGTTGACAGAACTTCTGAATCAGAGGCACAATGTTTTTCTGAGAGACTAAACCTTGAGCCTGATTTCTCTGGGAAGCCAACAGATTGATCCTCGTTTCTGAAACATTTCCTCCACCACAGATAACCTTGCTGAGGAACCTGGTGACATTAAGTGCCCTGTGCTTTGGACCAAGGGAGTTCTTGGCCCAGTAGATACTTCATGTTTTGAAGGATTCAAAAGAGGTAGAAGATTTGGTCCCTGCCCCAAGAAGCAAACAACTTGGCTGGGAAGACAAGATGTGCATAAGTCAAATCACTTGGGGAAAAATGTATTTAAAATTCATTAAAAAATAAGTAATCAAGCTCCCATTTCTACATTTCAAGATGGTCAATATTGAGTATCCAAGGACAGCATCACAGAAGAGATATGAGTTGTGTGCACCTTGAAGAAGGGAAAGTTTAGAATTGTCAAATGAGTGTCCTGGGAATAATCAGGGTGCGGCCCTGGAGGCAGAGAGAAATGGGGGTTTGGGGGGAGAGGTGTGAGGCAGGGAGGACAGTGAGATCCCAATGTGCCTATATTGTGAACAGGCAGATGCAGAGCTTCTGAGAAGGGGTGGGGGAGGCAGAGGAAGGAATCCGATCTTCTAGAGCAGGGTGTAGGCCTGAGATGGCTGGTGGGGAGGGCAGGCAGCCCTCACTGTGAAGGAGGTGTCTGTAATCTCTTCAGCCCCCTGTTGACGGTTTAATTGGCAAAGGTATGAACCCAGGCTTTTAATTGTAGAATCCTGGGACTGTTGGCTGTAGATTTGAGGCTTCTGTGTTTCAGGATGATCATCATTAGCATGTGTATGAGTTTCCTGTGGCCGCTGTCATAAATCACCACAAATGCAATGGCTTAAAACAACCGAAATGTATTTATTCTCTCACCGCCTAGGTGGCTCCAAGTCTGAAAGCAAGGTAGGGAGAGGGCGTGCTCCCTCTGGAAGCTTTCAGGAAGAGTCTGTTCTTTACTTCTTCCAATTTCTGCTGGCTGCCGGCTTCCTTGGCTTGTGGCCGCATCACTTCTGTTTCTGCCTCTGTCTTTCCATCATCTTTTCATCATCAATCTGTGTAGCTTCTTGGCTATGGGTTTCTTTTCTTTTTCCTTCTCCTCCTCCTTCTTCTTCTTCTTCCTTTTTTTTTTTTTTTTTTTTTTTTTTTTTTGAGTCCTCACCCAAAGATATGTTTTTATTGATTTGAGGTGGGGGGTGGGGAGAGGGAGGGAGAGAGAGAGAAACATCAGTGTGGGAAGGAAACATTGATCAGTTGCCTCCTGGACGTAACCCGACTGGGGATAGAACGCGCAACCTTTTGATGTATATGGGCCTGCTCCCACCAACTAAATCACCCAGCCAGGCCTCTGCTGTGTTTTGTTTTTGTTGTGTGTGGGTATTTTTTTTTGTAATTTTTTATTGAATTTATTGAGTTGACATTGGTTAATAAAATGATATATATTTCAAGTGTTCTATAATCTGTTTTTTATAAGGATACTTGCCGTTGTCAGATTTAAGATTCACCTAGGTAATCTAGGGCAGTTTCACCCTCAAGACACATAACTCAATTATATCTGCAAAACCTCTTTTTCCAAATAAGTGACATTCACAGGTTCCAGGGATTAGGGTGCAGACATATCTTTTGGGGACCACCATTTAGCCCATTAGAACATGCTTGCTAAGGAGGGAGCCTGAAGAAAGGAGACAGAGTGCCCCAAGGGGAGAAGCAGCATGAGGCACGGCTGGGTGGTCCGGTGGAGAGGCACACACCTGTGGCCTGTCACGTGACAATCTTACCTGTCGAACTCACCTGAGTGGGCACATGTGCTAAGCCCTGTGCTGGTATAATAATTATGAGAGTCTGTATTATTCCTTTTAGCTTCACAGCTGACATAATAATGATAACAGCACATATTGTTTCCTGTTAGCTTCACAGCCAGGGTACGAGGAAGGCCTTACCCTCCTGGCTTACAGATAAGGAAACAGAGGTGCCTGTGCACAGAGGGCCTAGCGACCCGCAGGGGAGCTGCTCTGAGCCTCCTCGCTCCTTCCAGTCCTGTGCTCCCCCCCCCCCCCCCCCCCCGCCAACTTGTCTACCTTCACCAGCTTTGGTTGTCCCCAGTCCCCACTCTCCCTGGCTGTCACTCATCCTGAGTCCAAACAGATGTTCCTGGGAGAAGCATCCTGAAAGGTTGGTGGAGGTGGCTGAGCAGCAGCCATGGAGCCGAAGTGCTTTACACGCATTCGGATTGAGCGGGTTAGAGCTCACACGATGCTGGCAGCTGAGCAGGGAGGTTGAGTTCCCTGGTGTCAGAGCCAGAGGGCCTGCAGTGGAGCCCTGACTGTGCCTCGGGGTGCTGGGGGGCCTGCACCCGTCATGTCAGCTCTCTGTGCCTTGGTTCCCTCGTCTGAAAGTGGGGATCACAGTAGGACGGACCGTGGGTGTTTTGAATAAGGATGAAATGGGTGCGGATACGTGTGCGTGTAAATATATATTACGTGTAAAGTGATCGTAATGGTTCTTAGTGCACAGTAAGTGCTATGTGCTGTGTACTTAAAAAACAAACCCGCCAAATAGCAGTCGAAAGCATGTGCTTGGTGCCCGTGGGGCCTGCATCTGTGACTCGCTGAGTAGGGGCTACGTGACACAGCCTCCTGAGTAAGGGCAGAGAGCCCTTGGAGACGTCAAAGCAGTAAGGTGCCAGGCTGTGCTGAGCACGGAGCTTCGGATGGAGTCCCCTCGCCACGGCTGGTGCCGCCTGCGTCCTGGCCAAGGGGCTCTGGAACCCATATCACACTTGGGTTCGACAGTGGGCACCACCGTGTCGTAACTGGAGGGTACAAAGCTGCCTGCCACCGTGACCTCGGCCCTGAGTGGGATTGGGCGGTTGTTACCACGCAGAACACACTCACAGCCTGTCTCTCTCCTCACAGGGCGATGCCGCTACCAGCTTTCTCAGGGCAGCGAGATCAGGGAACTTGGATAAAGCTTTGGATTACCTGCAGAATGGGGTAGACATTAACACCTGTAACCAGGTAAGTGGGATGGGGATGGGCATGTGGTCTCTGAAGAGCGGCCCCTGCCCGAGGCCACTCCCTGAGAGTTTTAATCCGCTTCCATTAACCTTTTTGCCTCGGCCTCAGAACTCCCCCAGGGCTTCCGCCTGCTGAAGGCCCCGCCTGGCTACTCACATCCCCGCCCCAGGGCAGAGCCCCGGGGAGAAGGGCTGGTGCCCAAACAGTGTGGGATGGCCCTGGGCTCCATCCCCCGCCACCTCTTCCCTTAGAAGTCGCCTTGGTCCCTGCTGCGGCCTTGGACTACGCGGCCTTTGAATGTGGGCAGGAGGAAGGGCTTTGAAGGGTGTTGAGTCAATGGTGACATTACACATCCTTTGTCAGCAGTGGCCTTTGAGGATTCTCTGCAGGCTGGGAAGGAAGGAGTGATGCGGTCTCGCCCACAGGCGGTTGACAAAGGAGAGACTGGCTCTGGTTGAGAACCAATGTGGCTGACACAGCCTCTCTGGAGGTTTCTGCCGCGGCTAAGACTCTTGTTTTCTGGAGGGCGTGCTGAGGAAACCGAGTTTACGCCACCTCGGGACTGGCTGGAGGGCAGGGTCAGACCAGGATGGAGGAATTGGCGGAATAGAGAGGAAATAAACCCCTAGCATGAGAACAGGGTGCGGCTTGGGCTTGTGGATTGGGTGGCGTTTGTTTGTTTTTGCCAGCCGGTTAAGTCGTCCAGGTGCACATGCAGTTTCTAATTTAGAATAAATCTACTCATTGTGACGTTCCTTTTTTTTTTTTTTTTTTTTTAACCGTTTAAACCATATAAAGATTGTTTTAAATGATGCTGAAATACCCATAACTTAGAATTTGCCACCATAACCATTGTTAGTTGTACGGTTGCATGGCATTAAGCGCGTTCATATAGTGGTACAACTATCCCCCTCCCCCCCCCCCTCCACCCCCAGAACCTCTGCACCCATTAAGCGGTAGTGCCTCATCCTGCCTCTCCCCAGCCCTGGCAACCAGTCTATTGTCTGTCTATGAACCTCACTTCTCTAAGGCCCTCATGAAAGTGGAGGCATGCAGTACTTATCCTTGTGCGACTGGCTTATTTCAGGTAGCCGAATGCCCTCCAGGCTCATCCGTGTCGCAGTAGGCTGGATAATTTTTATAGGCCAGCGGGGCATATAACTCTGCCTCCCCTCCCCTTCTGCGCCCTCCCTCTTACTTAAAATGCAAAATACCACTTGCTTTCTCTTCCAGGGCCAAGACCCCATTTAGATTCAGTTGGGCTCCTGTGGAGTAAATTCGCAGCTAAAAGATCGGAGGGAATGGAGCGGGTGGTATGTGATGGGAAACAGAATTAGGTGTGTGATAGGAGGCAGACACCCATGGCAGTGAACTTCAGAGGCGAGGTGAAGCGTGTGGTCTGCACTTCAGGTCAAAAATTGGATGAGTTTTTTTTGGTCCCTCTGTCCAAATATACAACACGTACCGAAGGACATGTCTCACCAGCCATGCAGAGCTGAAGGTTGGCCTTTGGATAGCAGACTGAAACTCCGAACCCATTTCTTTCCTGGGAAGAGGCGGTAGGAGTCAAATACGGGGCAGGGTGACTTAGGGGATGGGTCCCAGGGACCCCTGCACAGTCCCCCCAGAAACAGCTGGAGGTCCTGTTGTCCCCACCAGGGAGGGAATTGGTCTCTCTCCCCAGGGGGATGTATTGCTGGTGCCAGAGGCCAGGCCTGAGGCTTCCTCTGTTTAGCTCAGAGCTGCAGAGACCCCGTGCACGCTCCTCTGCAGTGCAGCTTCCGGCCGGGGAGCTCCAAGCCTCAGAGGCCTTCCAAGGGTTAAGATGCCAGCTCTCAAAGGAATCCGTTTAGCAGAAATGGGGACAACCGAACGCATAAGCCTGGAGCCAGGGCTCATTTTCGGTGTGAAATTGGAAGATTTTGATGACACCTGAGCCACGGCTTTGTCCTGATTGGCCCTCCCTGGGTGAGCCCTGAGCGTAGCTGGCTTCTCCCTGCTCCCCCATCTCTCCTCAGAGCACTTCAGGGCAACCAGGCATTATTTGCACTTTATTGACACCACTTCCTATCGATCGATGGGCTCGGTGCCAGTGACAGGTCGCGCTTGGCCCTGCTGGAGACTGAGGGGAGGCTCTGGCCTCAGCCTGGAGACTGCAGTCCTGGCTCGGACCAGCCTTTTCTGTCAAAGAGCAGAAGGCTGCGAGCAAGGCAGTGAAGGTCAGAGGGAGGAAGAGGAAGGTTTCGCCCTGGAGCAGAGCTCCTGGCTGCTGGCTTAGTCCCGGCTCCTCAGATCCTGGCCCTGTTGGTCTTTGTCTAGTTCCCGTGACTGCAGGGGCAGGGAGCTGCGGAGGGCGGGGGGGGGGGGGGGGGGGGGGGGGGGGGGGCTGGGGACTGCCAGCGTTGCCTGAGCCTCATTCCGGTTGTACAGAGCATTATGGTTTTTGCTCTTGAGTGGAGAATATGGGGGAAGGGCTATAGCAATTGAACTTATGCCCTCATTAAGCACATTAGTGCACCCATTGGGACAGGGCTGCTGCTGGGTAATGGTCACAGGGCTCGCCTCCTAATGGCTCCAGGGCCTTCTTCTCTTTAAAAACATCCACTCGTTGTTTAGGGGGAAGATGAAAACGGGCTCTTGTCCTGAGGTCATGATTTTGGGAATGTGTTTTGCTTGAATCTTTTGAGCTGGTGGACTGTGACAGCAGCCATATAGCAAATGCTGATCCTTATGTAAGTAACACACTTTCAAATAGTATGTTTTGTGGAAAGAATGTATGCTGCTTGCCATAATAGGAAGTAATTACTCTAAGTAGTGTGAAAAGAGGAACTTGGCTTATATAAGAGACATCTGAATATTCAGGGCAGTTTCCTTATTGCATATCGTGTCTACTCATTTTTACAATCGTCATCATTACTATACTTAGAAAACAGAACAAGTTCACACATAAGAACACACATGTACATATGCACACACCAAGATCTTTATATGAATGCTGGATTCTTTCATTTAGTCAAGCATTGCTCACACTTTAGACCCATTGTCTTTAGCCGGTGTCTTCCTGTACATTCCCACCTAATGTGGAGTGCTAAGCTTTAGGGATTTCATAGTAAAAAAAAAAAAAAAAAAAAAAAAAAAGTCCTGTCTTCATCTTCTCTGAACAGTAGTCCATTGTGATGAGGACTATCAGTCAAATAGCCACATAAATAGATATGCAAACCAAACTATATTAGGCATGGTGAAGTAAAAGCATAGGATTTTATGAGACTACTAGAGGCCCAGTGCACAAAATTTGTGCATGTTTGCGGGGGGGGGGGGTGGTGATCACTCAGCCTGGCCTGCACTCTCTCCAATCTGGGACCCCCTTGGGGGATATCCAACTGCTGATTTAGGCCTTATCCCACAGTCGAACATCCCTCTTGCAATCTGGGACCATGGGCTCCTAACTGCTCTCCTGCCTGCCTAGTCACCCCTAACTGCCTGTGCCTGCCGGCCTGATCACCCCCAAGAGCTCTCTCCTGCCGGCCTGATAACTCCTAACCACTTCTGCCTTGGCCCCGCCACCAAGGCTTTGTCAGGAAGAATGTCCGGAAGGTCTCCTGGTCTAATTAGCATATTACTCTTTTATTAGTATAGATATGAGAGAGACTTGACCTAGAGTTGGAGGTCAGGGAAGGCTATGGTGTGGAATAGATAGTTGAGCTAAAGGGTGAGTGAGGTGAAGAAAGGGGAGAACATTCCAATCATAGAGAATAGCCTGTCCAAAGTCCCTGAGGCAGGGAGAAACTCAGAGAGTTTCAAAAAAGCTGAAGTGGCTGTAGTGCAAAGAGCAAAAGAACCAGCTAGGCTGGAGAGTGAGGCTGGGATTGTGCTGGACCTTATATTACAGGCAGGGGCACTCATCACAACAGTCTACAACTGGGACAGCGTGCCCCAGAACCCAAAGCAGTGTGTGTGTGCTTGTTTGTGTGCATTGTGCTAACCTATAGTTGCTGATTGAGAGGAAAGATCTACGGGATGGCGGGGGGAAGGGGGGGGGGAGACAGAGCAGCAGCAGTGATGGTAACTTAAGAGCTTGAGGCAATGGGGATTGACCAAGAGGAATGGATGTATTTCATCATTTGACAACCTGTACAGCTGTGTCTGTGTGTCTTGATAGAATATCCCTCTGCTTACAGATATTCACAATTCTGACCCTTATCCCATGAGCAGAGGGAAGGGAACCACAGACGGAAGCACAGGAGTGACATGAGGGGAGGTGTGCTTTAAAGGATCACACTGGCTACTGTGTAGAAGGCATATGGAGGGGCCCAGAGGTGGATATGGGGGGGGGGGGCAGTTATGAGACTCTTACACTAGCCTGGGAGAGAAGTGTTGGTAACTTGCATAGAGATTATGAGTGTCGAGATGAAACAAAGGGAAGAGTCTCAGTGAGGAATTGGAGGGGGCAGGCAGTGAAGGAGCCCGTAGGGATGACTTCTGATTTCTGGCTTATTCAGAGATGGAAGCACCATTCATTGAGACCAGGAACACTGTATAGGGAGGGGGAGAACCCAGTGTGTGGAAAGAGGTTGAGAGGGTAAGGTCAGAGTTGTGTGGAGATCCTCCTAAGGAGTCTTTGAGGCATTGACATGAAAACTGATATATAGTAAGCAATTGGATATTTGAGCCTGGAATAGATAAAGATAGAGACTTGGAAGCCATTCAGCATTCGAGGAAGTCAAATGCTGGCGTTGGCTGATGAAAACTGGGATGAGAGCATGCCGAATATAATCCCACCAGTGCCTTTGTGGGATCATTCCATATGTATTTATTAAACACCTACTCTGTGCCAGGTACTATTCCAGGCACTGAGCAAGACAGACAAAATAGACCAAGTGTGTGGCAGTTATATGCTGGTAAAGAAGACAGACATAACCGAGAAAATGAACAAATGTATGTCAGCTCATGAGAAGCACCATGGAGGAGAAAGGTATTTCAGGTGCGGTGGTAAGGAAGGT